GTGCTGCTCAATTCGTAAGACATAGTTCGAAACTGGTAGTACTCTGAAGAACTAGAAGAGTTTTGGTAACTAGGTCATGCAGAGGTCATGTATCCTGCCACACCAGGAAATATGTAAGGAGGCCCAATGAGGCCAGCATTCCAGTCCGATCTTTTGAAAAGGGAAAAATAGTTTGCATTGTACAGGGAGTGAATAATCGTGGCCAGGCTTATTCCAAGATACAGGATGGTAGCTGACCAAAAAAAGCCATAGTTGGTTTGAAGCCTACTGAGTTGGTCCTGGGACAAGGAGAGGTTCAAGGCCTTCAATTTAGTCTTATTGACCTAAAGATGAGATAAAAGCCAAAACTCTGATAAAAGCTTAAATAGATTAGGCAATGAAGTGTGGGGGGAAGAAATAAACATCAGAATGTCATTGGCAAAGAGCATTAATTTATGATGCTCTCCCGCCAGTTCCAGCCCCCTAATGTCTGGATGTGTCCTGATGGCTGCAGCTAAGGGTTCAAGGGACAAGCTGAAAAGGATAGGAGAGATAGGGCAACCCTGTCTCCTGCCTCAATGAACTGGGAAGGGATCAGAGGCAAAACCAGCATCATTCAGAATTGCAGAGTTAGCATATAGGGCAGATACCAAAGACAGAAAAGAGTCGCCAAAGCCCCAACTCTGCAGAGTGTAAACCATGTAGTCTCAGGAGTATCAAAAGCTTTGCAAATGTCAAGGGACAATAGCATAGTCAAGTTGGTGCGTGATTTGGCTATATGTATAACATGGATGGCCCTGCAGACGTTTCCTCCGTGCCTTTCTGGGGCACGAACCCTTATGAATTAGCTTCCCTAAAAATGAGTCTAGTGGCCAGAATTGTTTGTGGAATTTGAGCATTAAGAAGCAACATGGGGCAAAAGTTGAACCAGGCATGGGGGTCCGTACTGGGTTTAGGAATCATTACTAAATTGGCCTTAAGGGATTCCAAAGGAAAGGCATGTCCTGAATTTAAGAAATAAAGACCAACTGTAGATTGGAAGTAAGGAGGTAAGAAAGTTTTATAAAAAAAAGGGCCGTATAGCCATCGGGACCAGGCTGCTTGCAAGTCTTAAGGCTGGGAATTGCAGTGGTAATGTCTGCTTCCATAATGTTGCTGTGATGCACTGAGAGCATAGGAGGAGCAAACTTATAGAAAAAGGCCTGCACCTGGGAAGCAAAAAACATTTCATAAGCGTAGTATAAGTGGGCTAAATGGTGGCAAAATTCTGATAGGATATTTTTAGTGTTGCTTGTTAGTGTATGGCAACATGTACAGAGAGCAATAGGCTTATGATGCGTCGAGAAACATTGTAAAAGTTTCAACAGCATGGTACCCAGTTTGCTGCTGTAGGCGTAACATTTTTGGTTAACCCAGGGGAGTTGCTTTTCTGAGATGTCCATAAGACAAAGGTTTAACTCTGTCTTAGTGGCAGGAGTAGGCCTGGATTTATGGGCTGGGCTCCTGCTACTTAACAAGCAGCTATTTTTTCTTTCAGTGCTCAGCTGTCAGTTAATTACCAGCCACTCATTGTCTCCACAGTGACTCACCTGGATACCATGGCTTATGGTTCCTGACAAGAACAAAGAAGAGGGGTGTAAAAAAATTCAGCAAGCTTGTCGCCCATTGGAGCTTGGGAGCTAAGCCCATGCTCAGGAGGAAGGACAGCGGGTAGCATTTAAATGTCCAGGAACCAGGGACTAATTACCTGATGAAGTTATGAACCAAAAAGAGAGAACCTAAGAGGGCAAAAACAATAGGAAACCCTTTTAAAACAGGTATCAGATCTTCAAAATGAAATCCAAGTACAACCTACCGACCACACCCACTTTTAACAATATTCACAAAACTACACCCTCATTTGTTGTCTCACACACAGCAAATTCACTCCCTGAAACAATTGGTCACAGTCTGTTTGAACAAGATACAGCCATTTTACCTATAAAGTCAAAACATCCTGGGCACCATGACAAGGGGTATGATTCAGAGCATGAATCATGTTGTAGAAAATTGTGGGTATGGCCAAATGTGCTAACAGTGGTTGGGGATGAAAAGGGTAACATTAAATAAAACCTAAGCCTATGCTGCTTTGAGTAAAAAGAGTAAAAATAATGGAGTGCATGGGGTAAGGATTAAGAAATGCACAGAGTGCTGGAGTCATGATTAAGCAATGCACAGAGAGTTGGGGTCAGGATTAAGAAATGCACAGAGTGTGGGGTCAGGATTAGATAGCACACAAAGATTAGGCGTTAAGATTCATTAACATACAAGGGGAGATTTACTGAAACTCGCGTGCAAAACCTGGTGCAGCTCTGCATAGAATCAGCTTCCAGGTTGTATTGTCAAAGTTTAATTGAACAAGCTGAAATTAAAAGCTGATTGGCTACCATGCACAGCTGCACAAGATTCTGAGTGATCCAGTTTTAGTAAATCTCCGCCACAGTGTGCAGGGGTCAGGATTAAGTAGTGCGCACAATTCATGGGTCAGGGTTAGGCAACACACAGAGTGTAGCGGGAAGAATTAAGTAACTCACAGATTGTGCCTGTTGTCCCCCATGTCCAGCTTCCATTTTCATTGTACTCCCCCTTTTGTTTGTTCCTGGAAGCTGGTTAGCATAGACTAAACATTACAGTGTCCAAAATGATGATGTACATATGGTGCAGCGCTAAAAATAAAATACACTTATTGAAATACAATAAATAAATCAAATAAATACCAACATACGGAACCCAAAATAGGGAACTTAAATTAAGGTGCAAAAATCCTTAACGTGCAATTAAGTGAATTCTTAAAAATGGGTCATAAATACAGACCCTAAATGCCGTGAAATACAAAAAACCCAAATCCCAAATTGAGATAATACACACCAATATGTGTGAACAAGGTGAATCCCTTGAAATGGGATAAACTTAAAGTGACAAGTGCCAAAACACAAATAAGTGTATACACTATACACGCAGTGAAAAAAACAAGACCAAAACGTATGTGTAGTGAACCAAACAAACATCAAATATGCAGTGAAAAAAAATTATAGTGAAACTCTGATAATAAAAGCAACAAAATGTCCCTTTTTGAGTCCAAATAATAGTGCTGTGGGAATCCTCCACACAAAACAGACAGTGCTCCACCCTCAACAGGGAACTAGTGTCATGTGGTGTGCACTCCAAAGGAATCCCAAAATGGCTGAAATGCCTGCTCACCTCCAATAAGTGACGGTCATCACACTTTTTGGATCATACCCGGATCCTATGGTATAAATCTCCTTATACACAAGGTTCCAATGTGCCAAGTATGTAATCCCCTTCCTGGAATCGATTAGGCAGGTGACCTTAAATACCTCCAGCCCACTCACAGAAACTCTGCCCAGCTTTCAGTGAAAAACATGCCCATAAGAGAAGAAAGATACTTCCATAGTGCAATAATGTTTAATCAAGGTAATCAGACCAAAAAACGGCAGTAGATACACTCACTTTTGCGTAGAATTAGTAAGGCATTTCCACCCCATACTATGGGTGTATCCATATGTATCCTGGGTGCACCAAGATGGCTGCCGGCATAATGACGTCAGCACGTAGCGTATCGACGTGTTGCGTCACGTGTCACAAGTGACTTCATCAGGATCCTGATGATCCTGATGAAGTCACGTGTGACATGTGATGCAACGTGTCAATACGAAGAAAGGAAGATGTGGTCACCTGTCTTTGGAAAATCTTTATTAAGACTAGGTTCACACCTATGCAGGTTGTGTTTGAGCTGTTTCTGCATTGCGTTTTTGCACCTGTGTTTTTTACGCATTATGGCAGCCTTTTTGATGCATTCTGCATTTTTTTTTTCATTTTATTTTATTTTTCTTGCTGCTAGGCAGATTTAAAATGCAGCAAAAACGCAGCAATAAACGCAGTACATGCTTTTCTGCAGCGTTTCCATTGAAGTCTATAGAAACAAAAACACAACTATTAGCGTTCAAAAAAGTACCTGACCCTTTCCAAAAACCGCACGGGGCAAAAATGCGGAGATGTGAACATGTCCAATAGCAAATCATGTTAAATGGACTGTACTCTGCAAAATGCAAAACGCTGCAGAAAACGCTTAGTGTGAACCTAGGATAAGATAGAAAACTAAGTAAACAAAAATATCACAGCAAATGTATTTTTTTTTAACGTTAAGGGGGCACAAGGGGAGATTAGAAAAAGCATTTAAAAACTTTTCTAAAATTAGAATTTATAATTAGAATATAAATACAAAATTTAGCACTGACTTTTTTTTAAGCGGAGGTAATGCAAAGTTCAGTAATAATGTTCTAAGACAGGTAATCCATTGCAACCAATTAGATTTCATTTTTTCATCATCTATTTTACCACTAAACATAATTGGCTATTATAGGTAAGTGATACACTGATACACATAATCAGTTAGCACCACCTTAACCATGTGTGTTTGAAAGCGGTTCCAACTGCAGAATACAGCATTCTAGCCAAGCATTGTAACCTTTCTTTAGCACCTGAGAAGCAACAAATTAAATCCCCAATATACTGTAAACAACAAAATTAACTGTGGCATTCACTGAATGCCATGACAGTCACTACTGATGATCTTTGCCCTGTCAGGAAATCCTTTGCAGAGAACACAAACTTAATTACCTGCATTGTTATGTACAAGCTTGCTTTCCTCTATCTTTCATATCATACTGGCAGTTCTTCCAAATAAAAAACAAGGGGCAATTACTATGATAGCACAAAATTAAAATTCTTTCTTTTTGTGACTGTACATGATGTAATTCTAAATGAAATTAGTTTAAGAACCAGGCAGTTTTGCTAAAATGCAAGCAAGGAGCCATTTTTTCATGAAGTGAGTGGTTGGATTGTTCCTGTTTATAGTACATTTAATTGCAGGACTGTCTTTAAAGTGTTACTAAACCCAGGACCCTGCATTCACTATATCTGGTCTCCCACAGTACACAGAACATGGAAGTACAATTATTTTAGTAAATATAAACTGATAAATACCTTTTCTCATCAGCAGTTAGAGAAGTCTTATGACTTCTATCAGTGTCCAACTGAGCACTGGTTAAAGCTTATAGGAGGAGTTTTCATTCTGCTGTAAGAGGATGCAGGACCCCTGACCTCTGTATGTATAGTGCTGATTGGCCCTGTGCTGATCACATCCACTCTCTCAAGAAAAAAAAAAACACTCTAGCAATACATACCAAACTGAGCATGTGCAGAGTGACTCCACACATATGTCTTATCAAGAGATAAGAGGGGGACACTGGAAGAAGGGGAGGATCAAAGAAGTCAGGATATAACAGCGTTTTCACACAATGCAGAGGATTAACCCCTTAGCTTCCACAGTGAGTATAACGAGCATTTACTGCATATACAGAGTGATTTTACTGTTGTGGGTTTAGTAACACTTTAATATTAGCAGATTCAAAGTTTGACCCAGTGGTCATGAATTTTGTAAAAGATGGTCATATATAGATAAGAAATGTACACTTTTGTTTGTAATGTAAACTGTGAAGAGTAACTAGCCAAGCACTCTGTCAAACTAAATGTAGCACTATTTGTACACTCTTTGCGGCTACTGGGGTATGATGGCGTCACCTGTATAGTATTTAGGAGCAGAGTCTTTATAATCTGTGTGATCAGGACAAGATCTCTAACAAGTGCTAGTGTCTCCACTCAATTGGGGCTTGTAGATAACAAGTGAAATCCCAACTGAGAAATGTATCGTCCACATAGACAGTAATCCACACAGCATTGTATATGAAAGTCCATGTATTGAAGAAATCACATTCAGTGAATCATCCAACATAAAGTATCTTCCAAACAGGAACATTAAAGCGGAGCTCCACCCAAAAGGGGAAGTTACGCTTTATGGACTGCTCCCCATTAAGGACTGGCACCTTTGGGGGGCGGGGGGGAGCGGGTACCCGAATTTGATAGGTACCAGCTCCCAATTGTGGTCGGACTGCCTAGGCGATCGGAAAAGGAAGGTGTCCTCCCTCCTTCCCTCCCCGTAGTCTTCTGGGACACGTGACAGGTGCCAGAAGACTACAGGACCATTCATGAAGCGCAGCACTACTCGAGCATGCGCAGTGGGTACCCGGCTGTGAAGCCGCAAGCAGTCACAGTCGGATGCCCACACTGAAGATGCTGGCCTCCAGGAATCAAGGACGGCAGGTGAAACGGGCTGTGGGGGACACACCACGGGACTGAGGGACAGGTAAGTGGCTGTTTTTTAAAAGTCAGCAGCTACAGTTTTTGTAGATGCTGACTTATTTTTTGACAGGATGAGTGGAACTCCGCTTTAAAGCATTAACAGTCTTTTTTTGCATGTCTCAGTGAGGGGAGGCTGCAACACTTACAGTCTGAGCTGTCTCTCCCAGGAAGTCCACACACCTCTCTTTTCCACAAGTGCTCTCTCTGATGACCTCATCCTTAGTGCCCAGAGAGCATAGCAGCCATATTGGAAAAGGGCAAAACAAACAATGCATAACAGAAGTATACACTGGAAAATGGGCAAAGAAATTATCACATCACATTCTCCCCCTGCTGAAAATCCTTCCGACCCGCCAAGGATATACACATAAAACAACAACAAAACAGCAAGTTAACATCGTTGTCGCCTTCTGCAGACCACTTCTTTAGAAGCAATCTATTACAGAGATTATCTGCAAAGAAAACATGGTTAATAACAAATAGGCATCATGCTAACCAGTCTAGAATGGGCTGTAATCATGTCCATCAGAACATGAGGTTGTACAGCATAGTTCTGTACAGCATAGCAGGGTCTTCCCAGGGTGTCATAAGTAAACATTGGTGGAGGTCCTCGAACAGGATCTCCTCTCCTCAAGCCCTCAGTCATTAGTCCAGATAAATCTGGGACTGCACTAGTGGGAAAACTTGGTGCTCCAATCATGCCTGGAACTGTAGGCACAAAGTTTTGGGCTGTTGGTTCAAAAGCAGGAGTAGTTGGGTTCAGACTTCCCCTCTGAGAAAGGCCCCCATTACTAATAGGTGAAGGAGCCTGTACAGGAGACTCTGGTGGAGGTGTAAACCAGTCATTGTCATCACACTGTTCTCCACTGTCTATACAAGCAGCAATATCAGGTTGTGGCTCCTCATCAGCAGTAGCAACTTGTGGTACTGGCTGCAAGTGATTCCTATGCCAGGCTTTGATCCGACCCTCAGGTCCTCGAATTCTGTAAACTGGAATTCTAGGCAGTTTTTCTATAACTTCAAACAACTCATTTCTCCAGCGATCAGCTAACTTATGTTTGGCTGAGGGTCCCAAATTGCGAAGAAGCACTTTATCACCAAGTTGTAAGTCTTTGTAACAAACTTTGGCATCAAAGCATCTTTTATTGGCAGCATTTATTTTTGCAGCATTTTCCTCAGTCATTCGATAGGCCTCTTGTAAACTATGTTTGAGTCGTGCCACATACTGGTAGTGATTTATATGTTTCACTCCATCAGTAGACACATGCAACTGAATGTCAATAGGCAGACGGGCTTCTCTCCCAAACATGAGAAAATAAGGAGAGAAACCAGTTGACTCATGTCTGGTACAATTATAGGCATGTACCATAGCTCCAACATGTCAGCTCCAGGTTTGTTTAGCACCATTAGGGAGGGTACCCAACATATTCAACAAGGTGCAATTGAAACGCTCAGGGAGAGCATCACCCTCTGGATGATAAGGTGCGGTTCGGCTCTTGTCGATGTTAAGCAATGTTAACAGCTCTTTAATTGGTTGACTTTCAAAGTCCTGTCCCTGGTCAGAGTGAAGTCAATTTGGCAGTCCATAATGAACAAAAAACTTCTCCCACAACACTTTGGCCACAGTTACTGCTTTTTGATCTTTGGTGCGATAGGCTTGAGCATATCGAGTGTAGTCATCAGTCACAATCAAAACATTTCCCACACCACTGCTGTCATTATCAATGCACAAAAAGTCCATGCACACTAAATCCATTGGACCAGAACTTTTCAAGTGTTCCATAGGAGCAGCTCAAGTAGGTAGAGTTTTCCATTGCAGACATCTCACACAAAGGCAGCAATAGTCCAAAACAGATTTTCTGTAGACTTGAGGGAGCACTAGCTGTCTCCTTCCAGGATGATCATGGAACAAATATACCCTACACAAAAGTCCATCGATTATTTTGAGTTCATCCCATTCCTTAAGATAGTAGGTACTCTGCTCAGGTAGGGTTTTTCTCATGTAATTAGGATCTTTGTGGAAAACAGACTCTCTAACATGTCTGATTACTGGATCCCTCATTTGTAGAAGAATCATATCTTTCTTTTGCAGCTGGATGTTTTCTGGTACCCCCTAGAGCAGTGGGACAGCAATACATCACCAGCTCCCAATGAGTCAATAACTCGTAAGTCAGAGAAAATAATATTGTCTCCTTGTACAGCAGCTGTAGCACAGTAGGCAGCCACAGCAGGCCCAGGTACTTTCTCCCATTCACTTTCTTCTAAGTTCATTGGCAATCCAGGACGCCTGGAGAGAGAGCATCAGCCCCAATATTTTTGGGTCCTGGCTTGTACTTGAGAGTGAATTGGTAATTAGACAAGGCAGCAAGCCACCTATGACCAGTGGCATCCAGCTTGGCTGTAGTCAAAACATAAGTGAGGGGGTTATTGTCAGTTCTCACCTCAAACTGAGCCCCATACAAGTAATCATGCAGTTTTTCAACAATAGCCCACTTCAGGGCAAGGACTCCCAGTTTGTGAATGGGATAATTTGTTTCTGATGGGCTTAGACTGCGACTGATATAAGCAACAGGCCTTAGTACTCCTGGGTACTCCTGAAGGAGGACTCCTCCTAACCCATCGTAGCTGGCATCTGCATGCGGAACGTATGGCTTTTGTGGATCTACACTGGTGCTTTTGTAAGGCTTTTCTTAAGCTGTAGAAAAGCTTCCTCGCAAGCAGAAGTCCACCTCTCACTGAAAGGAGTTTTGCTGGTTGTGTCAATGCCAGGTGTTTCTTTAAGCAAGTCATTAAGAGGCTGAGCAGTCTTGGAATAGTATCTAATAAAGCGGTGATAATAACCACAAAAGCCCAAGAAGGACCTCAGTTCTGTCAGATTTGTGGGACGTGGCCAGGTTACCACAGCCTCCACTTTAGCAGGATTAGTTGCTACCCCTTCTGCAGATATGATGTGGCCCACAAAGTTTACTGAAGAACGGGGGCAAACTTGCATTTGTCCAGGGAGTGTTTCAGACCTTCTCTCCTCAAACGATCAAGCACTTTAAACAGTCTCTGATCATGCTCCTCTAGGGTGGAGCCAAAAACAATTATGTCATCTAGGTAGACAATACATTGAGTGGGACAAAGGTCTCCCAGTGTTCGATCCATTAGACGCTGGAAGGTTACAGGTGCACCACTAATTCCCTGAGGCATTCGAGTAACCTGGAAAAACCCCAGGGGGGCATATGAAGGCTGTCTTTTCTTGATCTTCCTCACTCATTGGTACTTGGTAATACCCGGATCTTAAGTCCATTACTGTGAACCATTTGCAGCCTTGCAGGGCATCAAGACCTCCTCAATTCGAGGTAGCGTGTATTGATCTGGGACCGTTCACCGCTTTAGAGTCCTGTAATCAACACATATTCGCACTACACCATTTTTCTTTCTGACCACCACTATTGGGGATGCATACAGGCTTTTAGACTTAGCAATGATGAATTGGTCTTTCATTTTGTGTAAGCACTCTCAAACATCCTCCAGATCTTTAGGAGGTAAGAGCCTGGATCTTTCTCTAAAGGGGGTGCTATCTGTTAGGCAAATACTGTGTTGAATACTTTTAGCACACCCGACATCCATGTCATCAGTAGAGAAAACATCATTGTATTCCATTAGCTGCTTGTTAAGCCGCCTGGCAGTCTCTAGCAGCCCACCGCACGGACGCCCTCAGGGCGCGGGGTCTAAGTCCCAGCCTGCTGTTCACCAGGGCCCCTGATGGTGGGGATGGACTTGGTGCAGACTGAAACCAGGTCGCGACCCCCGAGTGCGACCCGTGGTGGTAGAGAATACTGACAGGGGAGTGCAGGAACGGAATCTACTTTGGAAGAGGCAGACAGATACACTGGTCTGATCCAAGCCGGATGGATGGATGGATGGTCGGGTACAGTATGCGTGGTCAGACAGGCCGGGTCGGTATTATGCGGGCAGCGAGGTACAAGAGGAGCGAGCTAAGAATGGTCAGGTCACAAGCCAGGTTCAGCAGGATGCGGGCAAATACAGTACCAGGGATCAGACAGAAGAGTAGTAAGGCAAGCCAGGGGTTAAACAGGA